AAAAAAAAAAAAAAAAAAAGAAAGCAGGACCCATCAAGATGGATGCTTTTTTTAGTGTTCATTTTTATTCTGTTTTAAGCTGTCTGATGGTGTTTAAAATTGATACCTTTCAAACCCCAGGCTCCCCTTTTCTTTGCAATTTTCTTAGCCCCTGGCACTCAGAATTACTCGTTTGATTAGCAGAATTTTGGTGTTTTGTGGGGGCTTCTTTTGTTTTTTCTGGTCAGGGCACAAGATAACAAAATAACCCTGACTGGCTTCTATTTCTCCCCTACATTTCCCCCTCCGCTAAGGCCACACACTCAAGGACAAGGACAGAATGGTTAAATAATTTGTGCTAGCGCCATACAACAGAAGAGAGAAACATTAATCTTTCAAGGAAAACATTTCAGAAACATTGTGAAATGAGCAAACAACACAAACTATTTTCGTGGGTTTTTTTTTATAAAAGGATCAACATGTTTACTTCTATGCTCAGCAGGGTCTAGAAGGACAGAAGGATCAGAGGTACCTCTCCGGAATGCAGAATAAACTGTCACTAAATTGTTACAGTGATCGTGCATCAGTCTGCCGCAGCAGGAGATGAGTTTTTAAACCCACAGGGCAATGGGGGAAGGAGAGTGTTCATTCCGCATCCTCCGGGTGTCCTGGGGTAATCACACAGATGGCCCACTGTTTACTGATGAAGAGTAAGGTTCACCTACACTGCAGGCCACACTGCTTCACCTAAGGGGCTCCCGGAGTGCCCGGTGGCAGTGCCCTGGCTCCCAAGGTCTGGGGCGGGGCCTCAGGGGTTGCACTGGTAACTTGTTCCCTGGGGAGCGCCTCTGCATTGGCGGTATTCCTCACACCCTGTGAAATGCGAGCTGAGGGAGAAGACTGGACTCCAAAGAGAAGGTGGGAAGAAGTCTTAAAAGGACAGATTAAGAGACACAGAACAGCCAGGCAGGCACTGCCCTGGAACCACCCTGAGGGATTCCTGTTTTGTTTGCTTTGTCAGATTTAAAGTTCTTAGCTCATCAGGAGCTGTTAGTACAATCCACATTGTCCCTACTGCTCAGAAGGTGGGATTCATTTTGTGAGGTTTTTTTGAGACAGGATTTTGCTTTGTGTCTCTGCCTGGCCTCAAACTCATGGATCCTCCTGCCTCAGCCTCCTGAGTGCTGGGATTACCAGTGTGCGCCACCACATCCAGCAGGATTGAGTTTTGATGAAAGCAGTGTACTGAGGCCCAGCCCCGTGTGTAACAAGAACAGAAGCTGCTGCAGCCACATTTGGGGTACACTTTCATTTATTTATCTACTTAGACCATGGAAGGCTAATACATCAGAGGTAAGCAATTCACATTATGTACTTCCTCTAAGAAGTGTGCGTATTTATAATTTGCCTGTTGTATTTACTAATATTCTCCAGATAATTAGCATGTGCTAAACAGTTACCTAAGTACACATGCCAGCCAAAGGGCTTTTGCCCAAGGTCAAAGTTTCTTTGGGTTCCAGGAAGTTGGGCAGATTTCACTTCATTGTAAACTTGCCAAGATCACAGCTCACAGATACGAAGAGCTGCGTTAGGACAGTGAGTTACAAAGTCTTGGGCTGTTCGGAGGAAGCCTGGACAGTCCTTGTATGGGGAAAGGCTTTGTATCCTGCCGATGAGAGGCATTTTGGTTTGGTTTGGTTTGGTTTGGTTTGGTTTGGTTTGGTTTGGTTTGGTTTGGTTTGGTTTGGTTTGGTCTGGCCTGGTCTGGCCTGGCCTGGCCTGGTCTGGCTTGGTTTGGTTTGGCTTGGTTTGGTTTGGCTTGGTTTTTGAGACAGGGTCTCGCTCTTAGTTCAGGCTGGCTTCAAACTCATGACAGTCCTCAGCCTCAGCCTCCCGAGTGCTAGGATTACAGGTGTGCACCCCAACGCCCGGCATGAGAGGCATTCTGAGTGTCCTTCCTAGTTCCACTCTCACCTGTGGGCACTGGGTGCCAGGCCAGGCTCCAGAGGCCTTCTTCTGTCCCTCCTCAGGTGACATCATCCAAGAATCAGTACAGCTGAGAAGCTGCTCCCATTCACCCTCACGGCTTCTAGAACAGGGGAAAGGAACTGCTAACTCTGTGATCCCGTGCTTAACAGTATTTGTGTCCTCCTAACTCTGTCACCGCCTCACTGTTGGGCTGATAAGTCTCTTCTGGTCTCTTCTCCTTAGATACTTTTTTTGCGGGGGTGGGACTGGGAATTGAACCCACGACCTCGAGCTTGCCAAGCGGGTGCTGTGACAATGAGCTATATCCCAGGCCCCTTTTCATGAGATACTAGTAGCATCCTCCACCTGTGACACCTCCCAGGCTGTGACAACCAAAAATGTCTGCAGACAGTGCCTGTGTACCCCCAGTTGAGAACCATGTTCTAAAACACTGAGGGAATACCCAAGACCCCAGGATCCCCTGCCCAAAGAGCCTTGATTTTGTGAATAGGCCAAGGGAGGGTTGTGCCCCGAGTGCTGAGCAGAGGTCCCTCCCAGTGTGACAAGGGTCGGGGTTGAGGAGAGGAGGAAAGGCCAGTAGCAGGCAAAGTTCAAGAATTCCAAATGTGCAGGAACCTGCCTTCAGATCCCTAAAAGGCATTTGTTGAGACAGGAAGATGGGATCTATTTTGTTTAGCTGTGCTGTTTGGATTTATGATATCTAAATACTTCACACAGGATATGAGGGCCTCTGTTTCATCTTAGTCCTGCAACTGTTAGGGCAGGGCCATTCCTTCCACTTCGGCTTTCCACAGTCCTGTGGCTTTGGGGTACTCCTGCTGCTGTCATCTAGTCATAGAGTCCCTGTGTTTGTTTCTTTTTTTTTTTTTTTGTCTTTTTGAGACAGGGTCTCACTATGCAGTTCAGGCTGACCTTGAGCTCACTTTGTAGCCCAGGCTGGCTTTGAACTCACAGTGACCCTCCTGCCTCAGCCTCCCAAGTGCTGGGACTACAGGCGTGCTCTGCCACACCCCGCTAGAGTCCCTGTGTTTCAAACTGGGGTGTGCCAGGAGGACTCGGACAGGGGATTTTGAAGAGTTCATTCCTGTTCCAGGTCAGTGTCACGGAGTCATTATCTCCACAAAGTGGACAGATGCCTACAGTAGCTTGGATCCTTTTCCACCCTGGGATGTGGCTTGAACGTGACAGGCAGAATGTGGCCCACGCAACCAGAGAGACTGATGGTGTGGAGTGAGGAGGAGGTACGGCTCCTCCCGTGGGACCACAGTGTGCGCTAAGGGCTAAGCGGAGTTTAACGTGCGTTCTGGAATTGGTGAGAATGAAGCTTTGTGCTTGGGGACCCCTGTGGCCAAGAGCTGCACAGACAGAGTGGCAGTTCACTCTGGGGTTTGCTTTATTTGCCACTTCCTCCTTGTTCTTTCTTAGGACCCTCCCTTCTGTCTGCTCCTTTATTTCATCTTTCTCTTTCCATAAGTTAGTTTTTCTTCTGCAACCCCCGCTATGCTCAGGAAGGATGCCATTTTCTGTAAACCTCCTGCATAGATGTCACAGAGGGATTGCCACCCATCCCGCTGCTCCGAAGTCTTCCCAGTACATCAGAGCTAAGTAGAACCCAGATGAGACAAACTAGGAAGAGATTGTTGGGCCGGGGATATAGCTCAGCGGTACGAGCACCTGCCTGGCAAGTGCAAGGTCCTGAGTTCGATTCCCAGTGCCAAAACAAAAAAAAAAAACTTAAGGCAGAGATTGTTGTCGTTGAGATGGGAGGTGGTATTTTTTCAGTCCTAAGATGGATACCAGCAATTAGAATTTTGCATAATTCTGAGTTAGCTGTATATTTAATCACCTGGACAGTGACACGTGTCATACACAAAATTCTAATCCCAGGCTATTCATCCCCGCATTGTTGGTGGGAACATAAATTCACTACAGCCACTATGGAGAGCAATACATAGTCTCTCAATATACCAACCCCACTGATACCCCAGTGCTGGGGTTGTGCCCCACGATGATGAAGAATGAATGAAACTG